CCAGGGGTGGAGCGCCAACGCCTCAGCTCCGCCCCCAGGGGTGGAGCTCTAACGCCTCAGCCCCGCCTTTGGGGAGGAGCATCAGGCGTCAGCCCCGCCTTTGGGGAGGAGCGCCAACGCCTCAGCCCCGCCTTTGGGGAGGAGCGCCAACGCCTCAGCCCCGCCTTTGGGGAGGAGCGCCAACGCCTCAGCGCCGCCCCCAGGGGTGGAGCGCCAGCGCCTGGCCCGGCACCGAGGCACGGGCCCGGCCGCGTTGGGAGAGAGCCTCAGTTCCTGGCAGTCGGAAAGTAAGGTTTGCCTCCTAGGCCTGCTGGGAATTTAAAAAGCCTAGCGGGCGCAGAGGTCGCAGCCACAGCCGTCGCTGTCCGCAGGCGTTAACGGTTAATTTGAGGGTGGCCATCAGTGTCCCCCCTTCCTTTTCTGCCCTTGCCTGAAATAGGAGTTAAGCTCCTCCCGAGGACAGGCCCAGTCCACTACAACCCCTGAGTCGATCGCGGGTTTGCTCACGGTTTCCCATTCACGGTCTAGTCCGTGCAGCCCAGTTCGGTCGCTCCCCCTGCTCTCGCCCACCTCGCCGACCCGTTGCTCCCAGGTTGACTCACAGGGGGCACTCCCTCAGCTTGCTCGGCTCGGTCTGCGGCCCAGCGATGGAAAGCCTCGAAGGCTGCCTGTCGTGCCCTCCCGAGCGGCCAGCTGATGCCTCTGCAGCTTCAGAGGACTTGGCCGCCCGCCAGAGAAGCCGTGCCGGGAGCCAGCCGTGGAAAGGCAGGGCTGATTATTAGCGGGTTTTCGGGGCTTCACTGCCCGGCACACTATTCTCTTTTCGGAAACACATGGTTAAGAATTGGGTACTCTTCAGGTAAAAACTAACCACAACTATTAACGGCAGGATTCTAAACAAGACCCAAGAAACAAAAAACCCACGGCTTTTTCATCTTGTCTGGTCAATCCTTAGCAGCGCGGGCAGGAGCACTGACGTGAAGAAATGAAATGGCTCTTCAAGTCATAGCAAGGCATTCCAGAACCTCAACATGTCCTCTCTATGCTTTCAAGGGACACTATGCAAATGCTAACCTGTAAGGTGGAGGCTGAGCCCAGGTTTGTTTTGATTTTGACGTGAGCGTGAAAAGGCATTGCCGTGTATTTTCTCCCAGGAAAAGACATCAGTTACCTCAAGAACTTATTTTATTACTTATAAAAGGTGCGCTGCTGTTACATAACAATGAAAAGGATCCACCGAGAAGCCATTATACCCGGGTAGTGTTACACCAGTGAGCAAACTTGTCTAAGGGTACATGGGAGAATTCTTTATTAATTCAAAACATTTTAAGAAAACCAGTGTAATGCATATGCATTTTACAATAATACCCATAAATTTCCACAATATAGTTAAAATGAAAACACCGGTTATTTGATGTACTTTAAAAACACGGATATACTTAGAGACTTCTGAGTTTTCTTACATTATTGTCATGCTCAAATCTATTACATGGTAAAAACTGTAGCACTTTCAGGAAATCTATTATTGTACATAGGTAAATGATGAAATTGATTCAACGTAATAAAAACCCAGAAAAACTTAAGCTGCAAAAAAAAAAAAATCTGGATTATGTATTCAATTATGAGTACCCACAGGTATTTTGGTATTATAAAGTAGCCAGGCATGGTTACTCTTTTATTCATGTACTCAGAAACTTGTGGTCCACTAATAAATATATAGGATGAATACAAAACATGGAACTAGATTACTGAATGGAATGAGCATGGAAGTAAGAAAGTGTACAGGCTCCAAACGATAAATTTCCCAGAAGTGAAGTCATTAAAATACTCTTTAGTGTTTCGCAGATGCTTTAAAATCACACACGGGCAACACTGACAAACGGGGAAAGCGTGAGGGACAACATGAGCTCGTCACACTGCAGCGTTGTCTACATTGCTCTGTGCGTGCATAGGGCAGCATTAAACATGAGTAAGAAGAGCCTTTGCTACCACTGCTCAGATACACTTTGAACCCAGTGTGTGCGCGGGCTCTAGGTGAGTACACAGGAGGGAATCAGCTGCACTTTTATTAAGTGGATATTCAAGCTAACACTGGCTTGGAATTTGATCCATTTCACTTCCTACATCGCTGTATTTTCTTTATAGTAGCTGTTAGTAATCCTTTAACGGAGCCTAGTATTCATGCTGAGAAGCCTTCCGGAATCGTTTTTCTCGCTCAGTGTAAATGTAGAGTCTCTTTGGGTCCACTTCCCTCTAAGACACCCTCTTTGCATGCATTCTATGTGTCCGCAGAGAAGCTGTACTGAACAGACAGTGCTTAAGCAGGTGATGGGGTGAAGAGCAACAGCAAAGCGGGCCCAAAGCCGGGTGGCCACCCTGGTAGCATGTAGCCCGCAGCCTTTGGCAGCACTTAATAAGGTGGCACTATCCAGGGCTGGAAGGTGGCTCAGCAATTAAGAGCCCTGGCTGCTCTTACAGAGGACCCTGAGTCAGTTCCCAGCACCCACACGGAAGCTCACAACCATCTGCAGCTCCAATTTCAGGGGACTTTTCCGGCCTCTGAGGTGCTGCACACATGTGGTCCCATATATACAGGAAGACAAACACAACACATAAAATAAAAAATAATCTTTACAGTAACAAGAACAGAATCATACCATTCCTTCCAAAAGCCAAAACCTCTGTCTAAACGTGAGAAACCTAGACAAATCCCAGTCAGCAGAGCAGAGCTGTCTGTACAGTAGGCATCACCTATACTCAAAACTGTCAAGGTTCTGAGAAAAAACCAAAAACAAACCAAGAACGTTTCTAGAAACTCACAGCTGAGAGGATTCAAAGGCGAGGTAAGCACGAACGATCACAGGTCACAGGATGGAAGGGCAGAGAGAGAACATTAGAGCAGCAGGGTGCTGGCGTGGAGTACAGACTCAGAGAGCCAACATCACTTGCTAAGCGTGACTAATTGCTTCCCAGAGCTGCAGAGCCCAGGAGGGCATTCCGCACTATCAGTGTATTTTCCCATAAAGCTGAAAGATTTTAAAATTTGATGAAACTGTTAATGAATACATAATCATTTTTATTACTTTTTCAATTTGCAGTTTTATGATAGAATTGACAAAAACTCACACTACTATTGAAAGGATGTTTTTTGCAATCACGCTTTATGAAATTAATTTCAGCTCTATCAGCCACTGACACACTTGGTACACTGGTAACTAACTGACTTGATTTTACAGTACTCTTATCCTTGGGATTGTTGGTTTTATTTCCTACGTCTCTGTCTTTGAGTGTGTGTGAGTGAGAGAGAGAGTGTGTACAAACACGTGTGCATACTTAGTTTTTTAAAGTATGTTTCAAAAATAAGCAAAGGGAGCTGGGCACGGTGGCACGCGCCTTTAATCCCAGCACTCGGGAAGCAGAGGCAGGAGGATCTCTGTCAGTTTGAGGCCACTCTGGTCTACAAAGAGAATTCCAGGACAGCCGGGGCAGTTATACAGAGAAGCCTTGTCTTGAAACAAACAAAATACCCCCCAAACAACAACAACAAACAAACGAAAGAAAAAGAAAGAGAGAGAGAGAAAGAAAGAAAGAAAAGCAGAGGGCAAAGGGAAAGGCAGGTGCTAGGGAATAAAAGAGAACAAGATACAACAAACATCTGTATGAAAATGTCAGAATGAAACACTTTTTAATGCTAACCTAAAAATTTCAAGGAATAATAGGGAGCAAGTACAACTGAAATGACTGGCTACAAAAAAGATCTTCCTAAAAAATGTGGCTATTACTGGGCTAAAGAAGTCTGAAACATTCTCATATATAACATTATTGTTCCCATGGCCACCCAGTAATCAACATTCTCCATTTTCAAATGTGGAAACAGATTCAGAAGAGATAAGTGATTTTTCTACTATCCCTGAATAGAAGTATAACTTGAAATAATCTTTGTCATTTCAAAAGGAAATGTGCCCAAACCTAAGACAGTTTGTTTAATTATTGGTTTAAAATAAATATTTCTAAGTATTTAAAAAGCTGAAGTGCTGTAATAAAGGCATAAATCAACAGAAAGAAATTGCAACAGGAAACATTTAATATTAGACATGAGGGAGAACTGAATTCCAGATTGTACTCATGACACTAAAGTATTACATTTGGTTATCATCAGTGCTTTAGATATGTGCTGTTTCTAACTCAGAGCTTTTGTGACAAGAATCAAAAGAGTCCCCAGCCACATTTGCTCAACTAAGGCAACACTCCATTTCCCAGTATTTTCCCTAGAATGATGATTTGGTATAGTCTCTTCAGCTGATGGAAAAACATGTCTATATCTGTAATATTTTTAACATACCCAGAAATCAGAACCAATACTCCTCCACGCATAATGTGTGTTGCAATGATATTATAATCATGCAGACATGTTCTGAAGTAAGGTTTGGTAGGTTTTAGGTATTTGTGATTATGGCAAGTGAAAAATTACTAAAATTATTATACATGGTATACTGATTTCTAATGGTAGCATTTTATATTGACCAGAAATTTAAAAGTAGAGAAGAATACTTAAATAGATTTAAAAAAAAAATAGACTTTGGAGATTTGTCATTAACTGCCAGTCTAAATAGATAGGTAATCCAGTCTTTTGACAGTCTTTTTTATTTCAAAATATTATGCCAATATAAAAGGCTTAAGGTATTCAAAATTCATGTTATGTCGGGTTCTAGGTATATCTTCTATCTGTTTAAAAACAAATTGGTTATTTTTCAAATTTTCAATTTTTCTATGTTTTATTCCTTTAAATCCCTTTCATCTAAAAATCCTTCACCAAAGCACCCGATATTTTTTATTTGTTGCAAGTGTAGTTTCCACAATTACCATGTGAGGGTTTTTTTTTTTTTTTGAGACAATTAAAGAATTGTAGCAAAAAAGCATAAACAAATTAAGATTCAAGTATTGTTTCAACTAAGCTCAATGGGGAGAAATGTGTATTTGTTTTTCAACAAAAAAGCCTTTATCTATTTCTATAGTCCTTTGACACTGAGCCATCAAATAACTATAGCACATACTTTATGCTGGGAGGCATTGGCAGGCACTAATAAATGTTCCAGGCACAGTGACTCACTGTAGAACATACATACATAAATTTTGTAAGAATTTTTAAAGGCCATATTATAATTTTGATGTTTGTGTTTCATAATTTTAGCATCAAATTCTATCTTGCTTACATTCATATGTGCCTTGTTATGCTGTCAGAGTCTGTGCTAACTTTGGGTAACGCCATAATAAGACCGAGCGAGAAGAGGCATCTCTCCAGTGTCAGCATGTCTGTGTGTAAGATCCACCCATGAAGACAGCTGTCTTCAAGTCAGCTCCATACGAGAAGAGTCATCTCTCCGTGTCAACATGTCTGTGTGTAAGATCCACCCATGAAGACAGCTGTCTTCAAGTCAGCTCCATACGCATCGTCTACACCAGATATGTTTCTGTCCACGATAGACACGCCTATAGACAGGTACTATAGAAAGTGCATTCACCTCTTCTGTGTGCATTAAGGGCTCTAACAATATACACTGTTATCTTGGCAACCCTAAACACAAGGTACTTCATTTAAAGTGCTTGTATTTCCCCAGGGAGCAATTTACTCACTAGGAATTAAATCAAACTTGAAAAAAAGAAACAAAAAACAAAAACAAAGGTTGTGCTCTTTAAACGGTGGCAGAGACACCAGTTGAAGGCTTTTTTTGTTGTTTATTATAGATCTGTAATTTAAACAGAAGAAAGTATATTATAGTTTAAAAACCAGCATAGTCACAAGTCCACAGACACACTCTTCAAAACTTGCAACATTCTGAAATAAAATAAGAAACCATTCCCCAAAAGATGAATTTAGCATAGAACTGATGACACAGCATAGCTAATGACATGGACTGCACAGATCTGCTCTAGAACCTTCTCAGTGAAACTTCTTAACCAGATTCCAAAAGGACACAGCAACTTTGAAATACAAACATTGCAAATGCCTAGGTTAGAGACAAGGGCTCTTCATAAAGGCCTGTAATTACATTTGGTAAAATGCTCAATGCATCGCCAAACAGACAACTCACCTAATAGCCCAGAGCATCCTGTAAGGGCGGCCTGGGACAATAGGTCACCAGCTCCACAGGCACAGGGGTATAAAGTCACAGCAAAAACAGTTATGCATGCGGGTGTCATAGTATATTACACATCTCCTGGCCCTCTGCACCAATTCTTTGTGCCTCAAACACAGAAACAAGTATGATGCTATACCATACGTGTGTACACATCATAGTATCCTAATAAACACTAATCAAGAGGATGATTAGATGACTTAGAATGATGGGACTTCACAAGAGAAGCAACAATGCTTTGAAGTTTTCTTGACTCTTAAGGAAAAAAATAGGAATTTTTTTGTAAACATCTTCATTACTGTCTTTTTTTCAACATATTACTGAATCTATTCAAATAGTAAATTTCTAGGCGACACGAGTCAAGCATATCTTAAACACACTAACACTGTCAGAAAAAAACCACAGGCATTTGCTAAAAGATGACTATTATAAATATTTCTATCTTGCATTTTAACTATGTTTTCATAAATAATGTATTTAAAAGTGCTGAACGTTGTAGGATAGTCAGCGACGCCAGTGTAAACAGAACATTTTGTTTTCTACTCTGCAAACTGCTTTTTTAAAATCCCATTTGTCAAACACTGCAACAGTTAAAATATTTGCATAGGGAATAGGTAATAGCCCTTTAATCATAGCTCCTGAATTCTATATAAATTAGAAAATCATATTCACTTAAAAAACAATTCTTGAAATGTTTTAAATGTATGGAAAAAGAAAGATGATGCCAACCTTTCAAGTAAAATAAATTTGAAAAGAAAACTCTAAACCTGCTTTTTAAAAAAATATGTTCAAGAAATTAAAAAAATGAGAGGTAGTTAAAAATGACAAATAAAACCTATAATTTTAATATCATCCTTAATATAAGGCCAGTATTCTTAGTGGATATAAATCTTTTTAAATCTTTTGTTTTTTTTTTTTAGGTTACTCAATATATATTCATTGAGTTTAAGATTAAAAAAATAGTCTTCAGGGGATTTTGATATTGAAAGGTAAGACCTTGATATAAATATGACATTGATTGTAATTTTGGTTTTGTGCACAATATGATACTGTTCTGAAGGTCAGAAATACATGCCAAGGTCAGGTGAGTATTTCATGTAAAGAGCTAATGTAATTATAAAAATAATATTGGCAGCTGAAAGAGTTGAGCACTATACTGCCTTCTAATTATGGATGAGGGTTAATAATTTGTTTTCTAACAATGTTAAAATAAGTCTTTCTTGAGAGACGACATGAATACAGTTAAGATCTGACATCAAAGGTTTTCTTCTTCATAACCCCTCATAAAATGTCACTTAGGAAAAATATACACTTTTCACTGGATTATATGTCCAAGGCAAATAGGCCACACGCCACACGCGATTCCTCGAGATGTGTTTACAGTGTGACATGTGGAAGCCCCTTTACTCAGCCTTTTCCCTCACATTCCAAACTGGATTGTCGAGCTTGTTATGGTTTTCTTGCTGACATACATAAGTTTACACATCTCTTTTATACCTGTAGAGCCATTCTTTAATAAGTAAATTACAGTATTGGGCATTTGACATAAACATAGATTCTTCCCTTCTTTTATACCTACACAAACTCCTGGAATTTTCAATGAGATAGGATATCTGCAGATTGTTTTGTGCTTTTTAGAAATTTTCTTACCATTGTTAATTTTTTTTGTTTTCTTTTTCTTTCTTTCTTTTTTAAAAACATAACAAACTCTTCTGTAATGAAAATGCCAGAATTTGGGCAGTGAACAACCAGAGGCCTCTCACAATTAAGATCCTTCAACAGGCAGAGATAAACAGCTTTTTTTTTTTTTTTTTCATGTACAGAAAAATTGGCTTCAGAGTCCGTGTACTACAAACAGTATGTAGCATGGTTAAATATCACTGTCACATGTTTAAAATAGCCTTTTTTTTTTGTATCAGATTATGCTTAAAATGCAAACCACAGCCAATTTGTTGGCAACTGTTTCTAAGAGACCATAATTGCACAAAAGTCCTTAAATACAGATACAAGGTATGCTACTGATTAAAGAGTACAGCTAAGTGGCAGACGAAGCAGTTTTGCTTTGCACATGCAGCCTCTGGGGGGGGGGGGGCACTAGGGGACCGATCAGAGGGCAAGGAACACAGTTTGCTTGCAAGGAGAGCAAGTGTTAAATCAAACAAACTTAATTTGGCAATTCATTGCCTTATATAGGCTTTTCTCCAAATGGATAACCTTGATAAAAATGGAGACAAAAGACCATCATGGTTGTCTTTTTCCCAGCAGCCAGCCTGTAGTTCTCCAGGAACTTAATTTCTGATATTATTTAACTACTTTTATTTCCCATCCCAGCCCTCTGAAATTATTTTTCTTTTCTTTTGGCCTTTCAAATAAAAATTAAGATTCAGAAGTAGAGGTGGCAGTACTTTCGACAAAAGTTTTATAGATCTGCGAGTTCAAGAATCGTGGGAAAGAATCTCTGTGCATTAGGGTGTAGATCTGAAGCTGGGCGTCTTCGTACATGTGCGGGCTGGGGTCCAGCAGGTTCCTGTTGATCACCTCTCTAACTCGAGAATCAAGGCTGACCTAAAAAGGGACAGAAGCAGATATGTCCATATGGCTTTCAAACAAAAGACCTCAATTCAGTAGCCGTAGGTTCATGACATCTCAGAGAGGCTTCGTAGATTTAGTCAGGTATCCCACCGGAGATCATCCTTCCAAAGGCTAAATAGTGGTTTATGATCCCCCCCCCCATGCTGAATTAAACAACTGAAAATAAGAAGAGAAAAGAAAACAGGAAAGAAAAGAAAAGAACCCTGCAAATTTGGTTCATAGGTATGTTGGCTTTGTGTTTATCTTCTCAGTGCTTTATAGAGTGAGAGAGAATAATAAGTATGTGAATTCACCCCCTCCTTTCCCATGATTATCAGAGGTGATGGGGTACAAATCTGATGGTGGAGAAGAGTTCTCCAACCCCTATCAGCACACAGGTCATATGTGGTACTCATTAGCTTCATATTTCAATGGTTTCTCCAAGTCAAGGGTAGGAAAGCAGAAACAGAGGTAGACTTAAAGTCCTGTCCAAGTGAACACATCTAGGAGACATCTGCAGAAGATCTCTAAGATACAGAAACTAGGATAATGAGGTATAATATTCAATAAAAGAATATTCAGAGTGCTTACTAAAATTACCGATGCAGTGTTGCTTTAAAAGAATACAGAAATTAAATTCATTAAGAGAGTCAGTAACCCATCACATGCCCCTAACACTGGACAATTCTTTGGGGACACAAAGATATGTTAGAAAAAAAGTAGGGACAAGCACGAAGGCCATGGTTAGAGCAATGGATCTGTTCTGAAAGGCCACATCAGAAAAAACCCTGCTGAAGCGGGAGGCTTCTATCCCACAGCACAGGAGAGGAGGAGGATGAAAGGAAAAACCCCACAGGAGACAGAATAATCACCCAGAGTTGTGAGTGCTTTCAGCTGTGAGCAGGGTGTTGTCTGAACATACACAGCCTTTCATGTTTACACTGACACCCTGGGTGTAAGCATGTTTGGACAGCCATCTTGATTCTGGCTGCTTTTCTCCTGCACAGACAGGACTCCACAGTCTGCACGCCATCTGCAGCAACCTCAAAATGAAGCTATGCAGATCTCGCTGTGTTCCTGAACCCATGCCCATGGATGAGCTTGTTAGACTGAGAAATTCACTCAAGGGCAGTTTGCTCCATTTGTTGGGACCTGAGATCAGCAACTAGTTTCCTCAGTTTGATCCAACGAACTTAAGCACAGAAAAACTTACCATCTCCTACAAGTTCTGTGTTGGCAATTCCCTTTTAAAAACATGTTTTGCAAATGAACTCTTTACTTTTTTTTTTTTTTTTTTTTTTGCTTTTTTAACAGTTTATTTTGAAGGTCTTTTTAAAAAACTAAAAGACAATCTGAGGAAAAAAAATTGCACAGATGACAGTCATTAAATAAGTGTGATGATTGACAGCCAGGTGTGCTCTTTTCTGCAGCTCCAGAAGTGAGTTCTGTGGTCCTGAAGGTTCTTATGCTTCCTGGGTGTTGGGGGGAGAACCAAGGCAGTTAAATCTGCCCTGTAACTGTATAAATCAATAGTAGCAAACAAATGTCTCTTTTCTTCCCAAGAAATCCATTTTGAGCTGTGCCTTATTTTTTAAAAGGTCTGATGCTAGAAACTCAAGGGGATTTGGTGGTCTTTCCTTTGCAAGCACAAGTCCCTGTTGTAAGATAGGACTGTCTGATCCCGGCGGGCACGGGTGGACAAGGACTGTAGATCCCCCTTCTGTTTTGATGACTCCTCCGCAATAATCTCATTATCAACTCTCCTCTCAGCGTCGTCTGTGAGACGGTGCTCAGAGTGAGGGTTTTCTGCAACCTGTGTCTGTCCCTCCAGCACCTGCTCTGACTCCATGGTGGACCCTGCAAACTGTAATCAACTGGACACCAGTCCACAGCAATGCTGTCAGTTCCCAAGTCACTTTGCTTTTCCTTTTGCATTTCCATTTCAGAGTGATAAAATGAATAGTGCTCTCCCTAAGCCTTTTTTTTCTTTAACAATATATTTGTTGTTTTCACCCTTTAAAAACAGCAGCATTGACGTTTAAACTGGCTTATCTTATTCTGAAATGTCACTACCACAGCCTTAGTCTTGCTCCTGTGCTCGCTCTTTCACACTTGAGAGAACTTCATGGCTTAGTAGAGAAGGAAACCTGATTTGTGGCCAAGAAGAGAGGCTCATTCACTTCCCGGGAGCATAGTGACGCCTATTGTAACAGTTGCTTGTCAGTAGCTGCTATCATATTCCGTGGTGTTACCTTAGGACAGAGCAACTCACTTTGCTCATTACATTTGTTGAAACCTAACATTATATTTTGAAAATTAACAGTAATGAAATACCATGGTAAACAATGGACAGCCCAGCATTTGGTACTCTGCAACAATGATGTATTTTCATTGGCCTTTGGAGAAGGGAAATATATACCCCTTCTTCCTACAGGTTGCTTTTGATCAGTGTTTTATCACAACAACAGAGAAACGTGGGCAGAAGGTTTGTCACTTTGTTGAGAAAATATTGCTGGAAGATTCTGGAATACCAGTGACATTTCAATAAGAAAATTGGGGTTGTTGAGGAGGAATTCATTGGAAGTGAAACAGTTGAGGTCACCTCAAGGCAACTGAGTCACCAGTAGGGACTGGAAAGGAGAGTCTATATGTTATCTGTCTCGAAGGAATGAGGGAAGAGAGGATGACTGAGATGTCCAGTGAGAGCCTGACAAGGCACAGGTACCTATAGCTCCAGGGGACTGCAGCCAGGCACTGCTCAAGAGGCTAAACTCAGGAAGGAGAGAACTGGTGTGGATGTTAAAATGTGCAGGTAAGTGCCGGGAACAGAAGGAAGGCAGGGCAGTGAGCAGGAGGGACCGCATTCTCGAAGCCACTGTGTTTTCTGGAGGTTGGTAGGCATACCTAGAGCTCAGAGACCGAGGCTCCAGGGGCCTGGGCCATGACATTATTCTGACCCTTTGAAGGGAATGTTTCTCAAGAGCAAATTAACTTTTACAAGCTTAGTATGGTTGCTAGAAGTAGCCCTCAGATGTGCCTGGTGGGCGTGGTAGTTCCTTGTGATTCTAGCCTTGGAAGCAGGAGACAAGAACTCCCCAGAGCTGGCAGGCTGGGGAGCTCTAGGTCTGACTGAACCCTGCCTGGATGAAAAAGGTGGAAGGGCAATTAAGGAGGATTCCTAATGCATGTGCACCAACAGGTATGTACACACACACACACACACACACACACACACACACACACACACACACAGAATTCCTGGGTGGGTTACAAGGATTTGCTTTCTAGACAAATGACCCAATGACTCCGGAGCACATGACCTGAGCACGCTGCTTTGAAAAGCATTGCCCTCTTTAAAACACAACAACCTAGTTGTGTCCAGCGTTACTTTTGGAAAGCAGGTATGGGTCACACACAATGTAGCCAGAGATCAAGGCACACTGGGGAGACCCGGCCTTCAGTAAGTGCAGGAGGACTCTGAATGCAAGCGTTCTCGGAGTCTTACCTCTTTCGGGGATAGTATAGAAATGTAGTCTTCGTAGATCATCCTGGCCTTTTCCTCAACGACTTTTTTGTTCTGCTCTTTCTTCAAGTCTTCGCAGGCCAGCCAGAAGAGTAGGTTCTCCTCGCTGTACTCTGTTCGGAGGAACTCGCGGAAAAGATTTCTTCCTGCAGGCGTCTTCATCATCTTGTCAAAATTTTGAGACCAGGACAGGACTTCATCTGCAGTGGGGTTTTGGCTGCAGAGACAGGATGAAGCCATTAGCTGTGAACGCTGGCAGAGCAGGCGGCTGGCACTTTGCAAGTCACAGTCATGTGCTGCCCTCTGCTGGACAGGGTTTGCTCTCCCGCTTGATCTGGCAAACAGTCTGGGGACTCAGCCTCTACAGAGGACCTTGTGGGTGCAAAATGCAAGGACTGGAGCTGAGGGTTAGAACAGGAAGGAGTTACAGACCACCTGCCCATGGCTGTCAGACACTCCTAATGAATCCAGCAAGTGGTGATGTTTTTTAGCAATTTGTTGCAAACGGGCAGGAACACTCTGAATAACTTCTATGTCTACCTCGTTGGCCAACCATAAGAGTTTACTTTTCCTCTCCAGCACCTATTCCTTATTATTTACACAATCTAAAATAAGAACATGCTTTGTGCACTTATCACCAAATGTCCCCAAATGCTCGAAGTATTCCTTGAAAAGCAGAGGCCTTTTAGAACAGCATGGGAGATTTTTTTTTTTTTCTGGACAACTATATATAATAAAGATCAATACTTTATTGCCAAGACCACCAGCCACTGACCCTTCTGCCCTCACAGCAAAGAAGGAAAAGCACAAAGCTTGGCGATTTGTACTTTTCTGGCACAGTAGAGAATCTTGGTCTTGATTCAGAATATATCTGTTTAGGAGGGGCGTTGCGTTCTTTTTCTTAACTTCCGACCAAGTAACTTAAATACGCTGGCAGCAGTCTCACTAGGTCTGAGCCTCTTCATTCGTTTACAACGTTAAAGTTGGGTTCAGGAAGACAACTTGGTGAGCAAAGTGCTTTCTCCGTGTGAGAACCTAAGTCTGAGTTCCCTGCGTCTGTTAAAGGCCAGGTAAGGTGCCCCGTAACCCCCGTGCTTGGGGCAGGGGGCGGAGAGGGTGAGGCCAGGGACTCCGAGCCGATCAAGTTAGCAAAAACCTGGGGCTCCACATTCGGTGAGGGACCCTGCTTTAAAACACACAGTGGAGAGCGAGACGGGAGATACTGGATGTTCACTTCTAACATGCACACATCCACACGGGCGAGCACACCCATACATATGTGCATGACATCACACGCACACACTTCCTCTCCTACTAAAAAGTTCAGGGTACAAATGCTCAGCACCACAATGACACCCATTAAAATTTCCACGGAAAGCAAAAAAAAGGAGGCAGTTCTGTGAACCACCAACTCATAATTAGGCTTTATCCCTTGACGCTGCACTTCAGCTTCTCAGTTCAGGAGGGCTCGGGCTCGCTTAACGTCCGCTCCGGTCCAAGAACCAGGAGCTGGGGCTGGTGCATTTCCTGGCTGCTGTCGGTACTCCCGTGTGCGTGTGTGTACATGTGCGTGCATATGTGTGTGTGAGTGGATGTGCATGCTTGTGTCATGTGCACACGGGTGCCTGTGTGTGCGCGTGTGTTTGTGTGTCTATGTGTGTGCATGTGCACAGGTGCAACCTTTGCATGCTTGTGTCATGTGCACGTGTGCATGTACCTGTGTGAGTGCATCTATGTACGTGAGCATGAGCACATGCTCGCATGCACGTGTGTGTGTGCGCATGTTTGCATCACGTGCGCATGTGTGCCGTGTCTGTGTGTGGGCATGTGCACGTGTGTGGGCATGTATATGTGTGATGTATACATGCGTATGTGTGTGTGCGCGTGTGAGCTTGTGCGTGTGCACGTGTGTTCCTGTTTATGTCATGTGTACGTGTGTGTGCATGTATACATGTATGTGTGCATATGCAAATGTGTGCCTGTGCATGTGTGTGCAAGAGCATGTGTGTACA